CACATGACGATCTTGAGTCTGGATACATCCACCACTACTCAGCACCACCTCCTACTACTAGCTGTGCGGCTATGGCCGCCTTCCTTCCTCAGCACAGGTGCTGCCCAGCCAGGGCAGATAAAGCACAAGCGCGTCAGCCGCACTTCCACACTTCTTGCGAATGAGCAATCTCCCTGAAATGAGGCTGGCCAGTCCTTACATTGACTTGGACTGAACCTTGACTCGTCCCAGCCTCTGCTTCGCTTGGCTTGACTTGGACCCGGTAACGGTTGCCCGCAGCCTGCCTTCTTGCGGTCGGATACATTTACGATAGTGTTAGTGCTCTCTTTCTGTTTCTTTTCATTCTGAAACAGGTCCGTATGGTCCTGGCTACTTGTCCGTTTCTGGGAGGGTCAGTCCGGTACCTCCCTCAAATTCCTTGGTGTGCTGCTGTCCGTTATGGACTGACCTTTGACTTTGGGTCTTCCTCCTCTTCTTCTTCCAACTCCTTTTTTATCTCTTCCTCCTTCCTTCTCATCTCCTTCTCAATTTTCAAACAGAAAGATCCATCCTGGCCACTTGTCCGTTCTGGACACGATACCTCCCTCAATTTCCTTGGTGTGCTGCTGCTTTTGGGTCAGACTCTGTGGGACGTGACCTTTGACTCTGGGTCGTGACCCTTGCCTGTGGGATCTGACCTCGGACTGTGAGACGTGAGTTTTGCCTATCGTATGTGACTTTTGCCTCGTGGATGTGACTGTTGACCGGGTACCTGTTGGACTTGACCCCTGGGGTACCCGACGTAACCTTTCTGAAACCGGCCGACCTGGCCTCTCTCGGCCTGGGGATTTGGACACTGAGATTCGAATTTGGGGTCAGCATCGTGGAACGCCTTTCACCTCGGGAGTCGGGACGTAATTATTCCTGGTCAGGGGTCCTTCACCCTAGATGGAAGGAATCGTGGAGTTGGTCATGACTCATGACATGTGCCTTTCTTTTCTTTTCTTTTTAAATCGTTTTTTTTTTTTTTTGTTCGTCTGATTGCATATGGTAGTTAGTAGTTACTGAACAACGTGTATTTTAGGGCATCAGGCCCGCCGTGCACGCATGGCCTGGAACCGGCACCCTCAGCCTCACGAACGAAGTCTCGTAACCACTACAACCCTTGGAGGTGTTATAAAAACTGGATCCATTCCGGTCGTGATATCCAGCCCACCTCCAGGGCTGTAGCGTCCTTGAACCCACACCACACACACACAACACCACACCACGGACATGGCAATCAACACACTCCGCTCGGACAACACGCAGCCCCACTATGGATTCAAACTTTAGGTCAAAAAAAAAAAAAGAAGAACTTAGGTCTGCATTTCAACAGTTCATGGGTTTACCTTTCTTTCTTTTTTTTTTTTTTTTTTTTTGGCTTACCAATTGAGCTAGGGCCGTTGGTGTATCTTTCTTTAAATTTCAACTGCCTGATGGACTGGAACCGGACTGACGCTCCCCAGAATGGACAAGTAGCCAGGAGCATATGGACCTGTTTCAGAATGGAAAGAAACAGAAACAGAGCAATAGAACTACCGTAAATGTATCTGACCGCATTTTCGGTCAGACCTGTATGCATCTGGCCGGCCCCAATTCCGTCCAGAAATAAGTAAAAAAGTGTTAGTGTGACTATGCCCTTATTTGCATCAAACTGACAGGGATTTCCGTTCGGTTTCTGTGCACAGATGCCGCGTATGGATGGCTATGAAACAACAGCACTTATCCGCAAAGTGGAGGAAGCTGCAAAGACCGGTGACGAGCACGAGAGGACACCAATATATGCATGGACGGCTGATGTGTTGCCAGAGACAAGGGCGCAGTGCCTGTCATTTGGGATGGATGGATTTTTACTCAAACCAATCGAGGATAAGAATTTCATGGAAGTTCTTCACAAATTGTTCGCAAAAAAATAGCTGAAACTGTGAGGAGTTAAGTCAGAAAGGTCGGAAACGTAGTAGTGAAAACAGCTCCGCATCACATATAGGGCCTGGCTCCACTACTCTCTCTCGACATGTGCAAAACGAGAGTGAATCTTCTGCTAGAACATGGAAAGATACACCGCCATTATTTTTGTCTTTTGTGCATGTCAAGAGTAGTGGAGTGAAGCCCATAATAGTCTCTGAGGATCTTACTGACAACATTTTTGATAACCCACTCACTGGTAGCCACAGGAAGGAAGTTCTCATGTCAGTTAGTCATTCACAAATCTACATTCGCCACTCTATATGACTTCTCATGTAACCATTGTAACGTAGTACGATACCTTGCATGTCTATTCTTATCCTTCTTTCTTGGTTTACATGATACAAGCCGATGCCTGTTGTGGTCAGCGGCAATGACCAAGTGTGGTTATGACTCTCTCTTCCCCCACCTCCGCCCGCCCCTCC